GACGCAGATTCCCTTTTATTTTATTTTTCAATCATCGAATACTTGTTAGTTGTACATATTAGCTTATTATAATAATTTTACCACCTATGCCCTACTTTTGTACAAAAAATTCTTTAATATTCCGTACTGCGCTGTTATGCCCCTACCGCCAAACCCCTGTTACAACCGGTCCCGTAAAACAGAATTCTGGGGGTTTCGGTTGCTGTTGTGATGCCATTAAGCTATCCTTACACCCTGTGTAATTGCGCAGGCACCCTGAGTAGCAAGCACCACGATGGGACGAGTTCCGAAGAAAAAGAAACGACCGGTCTACGCGGACTACACTCAAACAAAGTCATGTCATATGAAGCAAATAAACAGTACGCTGGTGAAGTCTTGAAATTCGAAAATGGCTCAGTGCGAAAACAGGACAGTCCCCATCTCGGACCAACAGCACCGAGTACTTTGATCGTAAGGTAACCAGAATAGTGTATGAATACAAAAAATAACCAAGCATTTATTAAAAATAACGAATACTGAGATAGTTGGAGGGAATAGATTGCATTCTTACTTCTATACTTTCTAAACAATGCCCTAGGAGTCTTTTATCATCTGCTCTTTTTCTTCGTTTCACTTACTGACTCGCATCATTTGGTATGGCCAGTAAGTCGAAGGACTATTCCCGTAGTAAGTTGAGACCGATTAACTACTCCAGCGTCCACCCATTTTATGTTCTGTGACCTGAAATTTTTATGAAAGTTTCAGCTAAGAGACTAAGAATTTCGCTCGAAGCGGAACGCCAAAGCATAAACTGCGGCCAGGCGCCACCTAGCCTTCAACCTCGAAAACGAAACGTCGTGGTAGTGGGACGTTCACCAAGCCGATGGAGGAACGCGCTCGTCTTGTGCCATGGGTCTCATGTGCCAGTCCCGCCAGCAACCACACAGTGATTAGTAATATAGACATAATGATACTGAGAAGAACAAGAAGACTCGATCGCTGGGACAATACGTTTATTCGCCTGACGTTTCGACAT